AGCTAAACACATCCAGCTATGTGGGTAATCATTTGAAAGAAAGGCAAAATTGTTGCCATGAATAACACTGGTGTTTCAAGAAGGCAGCATTTATAAGCAGTGGCCAGATCTATGAAGACAAGAGACCAACCACTGTGACAAGACCAAGGAACATGGAGACTATTCATGGGCACGGAGTGTTAGCACACTATGAACACAACCCAATACATGCACGATGGGTTAGCAATGCTTTCATCATCATTTCATTTGATCCTTAGGGGGAAAAAATCTTAAAAGACAGGCAAGAAAAGTCTTGCCATTTTCAATAACGTTGAAAGTAAAAAGCATGGATTACACTTTCAGGAAGTTTGGTGGTCTCTCATAAATTTCATCTGTAATGATAGATATTTACTATTTATATAGAGATTCTTCAAGGCCAACCATAATATGAACAAACAGTTCCAGGGAACAATAGTAACTTAGAAACAGATCTCCCTAGAGCTTCTCAAATTTCTTTTCTAAAATGAGCATTTGATTCTAATAGCACTAAAATCTGGGAAGATTTTTAATGCTACTTGGGAATAAAGGAAACAACTTACCCTCCCTCTCCCAGTTTAGTTAGACTGCCAGTCTAAGTTTACCATACTTGTAGATGCCAGCAATAGGCATCATCAGCCATTAGCTCCTAACGTCTGGACCATATTCTGAAGCACCAAACATAGGATCTTTTATTTGCCCACAAAGCAAGAACATGAAGTCCTTAGCACGATTGAATTCATACAGCAGGGCCTGCTGGAGAGAAATGCAATGATTGCTCAGGTTGTTAAAATTAGGTAAAGCACTACCTGTAATCACTGTCTATGTATGCATTGAGGCTCAGAGCTGGAAATAACTTTTCCTTCACAAGTGTCACATTCCTAGAAATCCTGCAAAAGCAGTCTCTGCACTAGGAAAGGAAGTGGTTAGATCTTCTGAAGATGTTTTCACTTTACTAATACAACTCAATAAGTAAAAAATAGTTCACTAATTTTTTTCAATGCAGTTTCATTTGACCTTGAGAAATATCCTAAAAGAGAGGCAGTGGCTCTTCTCCCAGACTCAGCCAGGTGTCACTAGTAAGTGGCAGAGTCAGACAGGAAATCCTGGGCTTCTGGATCCAAATGCTTGTTTTCTTCTCTCCATGCAGCACAGCCTGTCTATGTATAAACTTGTTGTTTATTTCCTCAAAAAAAGAGGCTTTTCTCTTTGTGTTAGAATATATGGACACCTGGTAACCTTGCAGAGTCATAAAAAGAAATAAATAACCAATAACAAACAAGGACTGAGTGTGCCAAAACTTGTGGCACAGGTATTAAATACTCCAGAATGTTAAGGAGAGAAGGAGACCATTTGCTCTGATGGCTTTTATTCTTCTTAAATATTTGCTGCAGATAGTCACTTTATCCAGTTATATTTTTTAAACATTAACTCCATGAATTTCTCTAGGGCTTTATGGATTTTTTTTTACCAGTTTTTGAACTACGGCACCTTTGTTAAGCTTTAGAGATGGCTGAGGGGTGAACAACAGCTGTCTACACAGTTTATAACATAGTTAAATGAAATAAACCAAGGAAATGATACAGTGGGTAATTAGAGCAAAGGGGAAAGAGTGGGAACTTGGCTTTATTAATAGTGATTTTTTAAAAGACTGAGTTTGTCAATGTGATTTTATTACTATTGTTCATAGTATCAGCAGCACTCTCCTATTTAGTGCATAAAGAGATAAGACATGAAATGAGCTGAATAAGCTGAAGAGAAGACCTAACAATTTCAAACAGTGCCCCAATTGCAATGAAATACACACACAGATAACAAAACATCTATATCTAGCTTTATGGATGTTCATTTGTTATTGCAAATAAAGTATTATATAAAATGTGTGTATCTATCTATCTATCTATCTATCTATATATATATATGGGCAGAAATTTTAACTAAAGTTTTCAGGCTGCTGAACGATGCTAGGTGGGTGAAATTCTACACCTGAAAGTTCTGATAATGCTTTCTTTACTCATAGCCAGTAGTAGTGGATTAATAACTTGAATATCTGATCTCTACCTCCTGGGTAGACAACTCTTTTCATAACTTTTTCTTATTCTTTTCATCCTCCCACACAGGTACAGACATGGACACACACACACACACACACACACACACACATACACACACACACACATCATTATAGGACTTCAGTTTATTTGAGTGCAAGCTACACTACTATGTACTATAAGGGAAAAAAGACCATGCACAATTCCTTACTCTCCTTTTACTTTTCAAGCACAGCTTTATAAATCACTTGGGTCTTAGCCTTGACCTGGGCTTGAATCTTAGCTCTGACATTTACTATTCATTATCTTGGGTAAGTTCTTTATATTCTCTGTACTTCAGTTTTCTTATCTGTTAACCGAGAATAATAAATAATATCTACTTTTATGGGTTGTTAAGAGAATTCAGGGAGATGATGTGTATGTGAAGCACTATGAACAAGAACTAGCATGGAGTAAGTTATTATTATTATTATTTTATTATATTATTTTTGAAGACTTTATGTTCCAGAAAGAACATATAGTCTTAAGTATAGCTAAATCTAATAGAAACAATTAGCAGTGTAATGAAGACATAATCAAAATACTCTGCTAAGGAGGGTGTGTTTCTTTATAGACAACAATAATGTACTGCCCCCAAATTTAGCCTTGGGAACAAAGGAATTAACTAAGCAGAGATGATCATTTTTCCAGATTCTATAAATACTATGTCCCCTTGCCATGAAATGAATAATGATGTCTTCAAAACATCATTTAGATGCAATATAGTATTATATATGGGAAAGCAGACTTGATTTTAAATTTGTCAAGTTGGCCAACCTAGCAGAAAGAATTTTAGAACAGGAAATAATAGGATAATTAGCCTCTAAAGTGTCTGCTCTATTTCTGAAATTCTGTGTTTCTATGGTCAAGGTAGTTGATGGAGTTTCCAGAGAGATAAAAGTAGTATTTTCAAACAGTAGCTCCTTCTCCTTTCCCCTTAGCCTACTTTTTTGGTGATTCTTTTCAATTATCTTTTGAAAAATTGCCCTTGGAACAGAATTAACATTCACCTCATAAGGAAAGAGGAGTTATTTTGAATGAATTGAGTCAAACAGGGAAGAACTCTATTAAACAAAATCCTTGGGGAAGTGAATTGTTTATTGGTTCAGTTTGTGGTCTAGAGTTGAGGTATGGGTTGGGAGAGAAGAGAAGCGCTTCGCCATGGGATATTAGAAGGAAATTAAAGAGAAAAGTATACCTTAGAAATATGCATGCTTTAGCAATATGGAGGTAAACAGGACTATTAGACAATTGCAGCAGGGGAAGGAGAATAAGAAGGATGTAATTAAGAAAAAAATCTCAAAAATATCTTTAAATTTTATTTAAAACAATTGTTTAAAATATTAAGTAATGAGCCAGATGTGATGGTGCATTCCTGTAATCGCAGGCAGGAGGGTTGCAAGTTCAAGGACAATTTAGTGAGATACTGTTTCAAAATTAAAAAATGAAAAGGGGTTAGAATAGAGCTCAGTGGTACAGAGCCCCCATGCTCAATCCCAGTTACATACACACACACACACACACACACACACAGTGCAGTTAACACATGTAAGAAACTTTTTATGTTTTATTTTTTCATTACTTCACCCATCAAAAATTTATTCATTATTCATCGTATGCCAGCTGTGGCTAAGATTGACATGGTCCCAGTCTTTATGAAGGTTAAGTCCTACGAATGGAAATGACCTGAGAGGAAGAGAAGAGAGAGAAAGAGAAACCTGGAACCTAGAGTGAGTATCCATTCCTTAAATAATAAAAACTCGCTGAACAAATGAGTAATCTGAGTTTTCCTGCATGCTCTTGAAGAACAAATCAGTCATTTTCTACCGATTTCAATAGTAAAAACCAGAGCATATCTTTAAAAGCATAAAGTCACCAAACAGAAATACAGGTAAAGTTCTAGCATGGAGAAATTTGAGAATATTATCCTCTTGAAGATATGATCACTGTAGTGCAATTTGGTTACTATGGAAAATCCTTTCCACCTCCCATGGTGGATCATGTGGTGCATCAACAATTTAAATCACTCCCCAAATTGGACCCTGGCTTAGGATTTATAAAGAAAGTATTTTCAAAAGAGGTCACTGGCTAAACAATTCCTTTAATCAACAATCAGAGGATTGACTCCACTGATGGTGCCAAACGTTCTCCACAAGGGCTATGAGGGTGTATCACTGCCATAACTCAACAGGGTAAAAGGATCAAATGAATTTTTAAATGCAAATTTTTTGGTTTATACAGTTCTTTTTCATCTTTTGTAAAGTGACTACTCTACTTAATCAAGGTTCCTCTGTATATCATTAACTAATTTTAGCTTCTCTTTTTTTATTCCTTAATTTTTATAGTAAATTTCGGAGAGCCCAGTTTTTAGCTCTCTGTGGATTTCTTGTGTTGAAGCCTTGAGGGAAGCTAAATTTAAAAGTAAGGAAATAATAATTAAAAGTGATTAGGAAAAGAAGTTTTGGTACTATGAATGTGGACTCAATTCCCCAGTTATAAGCTGAACCAAGCAGCAGTTTTTGGTTTTGATTATGGCTTTACTTGCTATTTTAATAAACATGAACCAGTATTCAAACTTTTAATATCCTGCTGCTTAACTATTTCCAAAGAGCTATCCAGCTCTTTTAAACAGGCTTTGTTTTAAAATTTTAATTTGTTTGGCTCAGTCTCACCTTAGAAAGTTGTAGCCTTATGGTAAATGCTTTTATAAGTTGATTTCTAGAATCATAAGTGATCCCCCCACCCCTCCAACTAAGCGTTTCCTCATGTGCCAAAGTGGTTGGTGCTGACAGCTTCTCTGCCTTGTTTTATCTGGTTCCCACTGCAAGTATGAGAGACAAACACAAGAATGTATTCAGTGTTGACTAGACATGTCAAGACTACAGTGATACTTACAACTCCTCTAGGAAGCGGAGGCTGTGCAGGGGACTCAGGGGCAGCTGACTGATGTTGTTCATGCTGAGGTCTCTGGAGGGAAGACAGAGAGTGTGTGAGGAGGGGCATATGTCACCACAAGGAGATCCAGCTGTTGCATTTACACATTTCCAAGCAACACGGTTAAACGAAGTCATTCCTCAGCTTGTGATTTTCCATTTAAAATAAAGCGGACCCCCTTCTTGCAAAATCGTGGGTGCTCTGTCAAATTAGCGACCCTAGGAGAAACCTGCAAGGGGTTCACAATAATTTCAACCATTCATGGGTACAGTTATAATTCTTCATGTTTATAATCATGTAACCAGGACAGCAAAGAAAACAGACATAAGAACTCTAGGCATAACTCAACTTTGTGTCTTGCTTTAAATTTTGTGACAAAGAGAAATGTCTTCACCATGCAACTCTAGAAGTCCTGTTTCTCTGGGATTTTAAGCAACTTGTAAAAACAAATGTTTTGATTCAAAGAAATTTAAAACAAAACAAGACAAAAAGCCTATTCCTTCCTTCAAATATGCTCCTTTTGCAGGTTCTCAGATTGCATTAAATAAGTGAAATGAACCATAAAACAAGGGTGTAAGGTGATCCTGCTCTGTAGCACACTTCCTGCTGGGCCTGCACAGTAGTTCCTGGCACAGGAAACAACAAGCCACTCTGGACAAAACTCAATCAATTTTTGTTTTAAGAGAAACTCAGTGTAATTAGATTTTATTCTGTTTTTATTTCTCTGTTTCTTTACTGTCTCTCACGTATCCTACAGCATCCCTGATATATGCCATCTATATCTCAGAGACCAAGTCTTATGGCTGTGCATATTTTAATCAAGACAGACTAAGTTTTCACATCGTTATTTGCAGATTCACTTTAAGAAATGACTTGTTGCAATTGGGAGGGGTGGAAGGGTTGTAGGGAGGGCAGGGGAATTGGGAAAAATAAGAATCAAGATATATCATGTAAAGGTACAAATTCCAAATGATGAATGTTATATTGTATACCTAAAATGTACCAATAAATTTAATTTTAAAAAAAAGAAATGACTTGTTGTTTTACCCAGAAGATTTAGAAATAATGGTATTATCTCAGGACAGGTCTCCATACTTAAAATTTATCTTAAAATAAAGCAAGTTTTTTTCCAATCTCATTTATTCCTGTTATTAAAGTGGACACACCCATTGTACCTACCCAGCTGATTTCCTTATCTATAGCTTGACTGCTTTATCAAGTATTGATTTTAAAATCTCTTGTCTGCTGTTAATGATTATGTCTAGATATCTAGAACAGGTCTTGCAAGGTTCCTTGGTGGAAATTGGCTATATATTGGGATCATCATGGGAGCTTTAAAAACATGTTGATGCCTGGGTCTCATCCCAGAGTTTGAGTGAATTGACCCACAATAGACATTGGGAATTTTACAACCTTCTCAAGTGATTTGCATGTTCAGCCAAGGCCGAAAACTACTGCACAGGAGTAATTTGGATTCTATATGACCTCTTTGAACTTAGCAATTCACTTAACATTTTGCAGGCTTGAGATGATTAAAGGTACTGATTCCTCCAAGTTCCCAGACCAGCAGATATGAAAATGTTTTTGTTACTTGCAGCTCAATTTTTAGCATTTGACAAATGCTAATTGAACATTAATTGTGGTAAGTTTTATCCTAGGATTATAGTAAAGTATAAATCTGAATCATCTTCACCTCTTCCCTATTCCATCATCCCTATGTTCAGAAATCATCCAAGTGTTAATTCTATCACAGAGGTCACTTCTGGATCTGGTCCTTTTTGATCTTGGCTGGTTAGGTCAGGTCCTTGTTATGCGGTTAACTTTCCCTCTTTGCTGGATAGGTCTCCTCATTGTAGATTATCTTCTATATTACAGCCAGTGAAGTTGCCTGAAGCAGTCCACTTGATCAACGTTCCACTCAGAGCCACGACTAGCCAATAAAAATGCTTTGCTCCGGTGAATGGCTTAAAAAGGGCTTTCTCTCTTGGGAGGGGTATGTGAAGAATTACAGAAAGGCATTTCCTTTGCTGGAGCAGGTGTGGAGCAGGTGAATGGTTTAGCAATAGAGTATGGCCCAGAACTCAGCCCAAAGGAGGACCTTCGGTGCAGGACACAACTTGCCCCACTGCAGCCAAGTGAAGACAGTCTTTTCACAGCCTGCCTTGATATATGTCATCATTCTAATCTTATGCTACATTGCTCCCTGCAATGTGTGTGCACCAGTTACAGGGAAATTCTCGCTGTTGCTCTTTGCATCTGTCTTTGCTTGTGATGCTCTTTCCCTAGAATGCATTATCCTCTCCATTTCCAAGTTACTGCTCCTTGATAGCCTGTCCCCACCATTCAAGGTGTAGTTCAATCGACCCCCATGTTTCTGACATGTTTCTGTCTTTCCATCTTAGTTATTTGATACTTCCAGTATCAAAGCCTTGTCTCAGTCTAACCATTTAGCTTAGGTCACGTTTTTACCTGGATCACCGTTTCTCCAACACTCTGAACTCCTTATTCCCCATATTTGTTTCACTCTTCTGGCAAAATTCCTGCTGTGGAAAAACACCATAATTCATGTTCTCTGTTACTATTTCAGGGTACTGAGTGCTACTAGAAATGAAAAACTGACAAATGTGCAGACTTGTGACTATAAATTCAGGGTCTTTGTGGGTTTTCAACACTGCTGCACAATCCTGTTATTTGTTATGGCTCTACTTACTACCACGGGAACTGTTGCCAATCTTTACTAGTTGCCTCGAATCTCTTAATCAACAACCACTCCCATCATGCCTTCTCTCTTACTTCATGGAAGTATAGGATTCTCTGGACCACCAAAGACGAAGTAGGTCAAATTCTTATTCTCCTTTGTCTCCTGCTTACTATAATAAACTTTTCTTGTTGTTCAGCCTTCCTCAGGGTCCTATACCTTTTAGCATGCTACTGCACATGACTCCATTTTATGAATTAAATGTGCTCCCCTCAAACTCTTACGTTAAACTCTTAATCCTTAAAGTAATGGTGTTTGGAGATGGAGCATTTGGTAGGTAATTTAGTCATGCAGATGGAGCTTTAACGATGGCATTAGTGTTCTTATGAGAACAGACATGAGAAATCTCTGCTGATTGCCATGTGAAGATACAATGAGAATGCCATCTGAAAATTGAGAGGCAGACTTTACAGATACTGCACCTACTGATACTTTGATCTTAGACTTCCCAGCCTCTAGTAATGTGAGAAATAAATTGTTGTTTAAGTTATGCAGTCTATGCTAAATTGCTATAGAAGTTGGAGCTAAGATGTATTAATCTTCTGATACATCTTCCTTTTCAATGTATAAACATGGCCAGCACTTATTCACTACTGCAACAAAATAAGATCTTTTAATCTCACTCCTTTAGCTGTGACTCAGTCTTCTCATTCCCTTTGCAATTGTTGCTCTTCTACATTCACAGTCTTCACTTTTCCTTCCTTCTCCACCCACCAGGACAAAGGCTCCATCCGCACCACTACCATGAAACTGTTCTTGTCAAGGAGCAGCAGCCGCCAGATTGCCAAAGCTAAATGAACATTTGACTCACTGGGCTGCTCTTTTCAGAAGCTCTATAATGCATCGGTTCCCAGGTCATTTATTCTCAGGATTATTTTTATAGTTTCCCAACCTTTCTACTTTACAAATAGGAAGATGTGTGATTTTTGCATATTTATTTTGTGAGATTTTATGTTTGCAACTCTCTTTGTTTTTCTTTGCTTATTTGTTTTTGTTTTGTTTTGTTTTGTTTTGAGGACCCAGGGATCAAACACAGGACCTTGCGCTTGCCAGGAAGGCATGGTGCCACTGACCTATATCCCTGCCCCTATTTTATCTACTCTCTAAGTGTCAGTGTTCTCTGGAGTTTTGATCTTGGCCTAAAACTCTTCAATCTCTACCTTTTCTTCTTGGAGGCTATTACTTCCTTTTATGGGTTTAAATACCACTCAGATGCTCATAATCTGCCCAAATCCATACTTGCAGTCATAACCTTTCCTACATTTCAGGATCATAAAACCAATTTCCTTTTGGGTACTAGCAACGAATGTAACATCTCCAACATGAACATAACTATTTCCAAACTGTTTCAAACTTGTTTCTTTTTCTGTAGACCCAGTTTCTAGTTAATGCTACCACCATCTTCCCATCAATAAAGACTTGTCCACTGTCTGAGTCATCTTCCCTTTTAAAATCCTCTGTACCTATCTCTTCTTTCTTTCCCCTTACTGTGCCCCATTGTAGGCACTCATTATCTCCAAACCAGCCATCTGAAATCCATCTCCCAACTCTGCGGCTGCCTGCTACCAGTCTTGTCCTTTCAGGCCTGCCTTCCATGTGGCAGTTGAGATACATAAAAAATACAGAATTTGCCACATCATCACCCTACTTAAAACCCTGCAAGGACCTCTTTTACATTCCAAGTAGTCAAATGATCACATTTCTTAGTATTGCATACACGTTCCTTCATTGGGCATACCAACTATTTCCCAACCTGAAATACTGATTCTATTTCATCTTTCAAGACTCAGGCCAGGTGTTATTTCCTCCTCTTAGCCCCAAGGTTAATGTAGATGAATTGTTCACTATCCTTCTGCCTCACCCATACATTTAATGATATTATACAGAAATGATATAAGTATGTGACTGTCTCCCCCAGTAGGCTCTAACTCCTCATGGTCAGTAGTTATTTTTTTCCCATCATAGTACTTTTAGTTCTTAATGGATTCTTGCTGCACAGGAGTTACTTATACTGAACTGAGACCTCTTCTTCTGCAGTCTTCCTATGACAGAGGAGATGGTCTTAGCCAATTAGTTTTTTTTTTTTAAATCAGACTTCTCAAATGGCTATAGCACTTCAAATTGTACAAGGTATAGAAAACTTAAGGAACAAAATGCTGTAGAAGCCCCTCTCTACGTTGTGCTCACCTTCCAAAATGGTTTCGTGCTTGTCATTATGTTTAGCTGTTTGGTTGATCCTATTTTCTTTCTGTCCTAGAGAGATTCCTCAAAGACTCACTTCTGGTGAAAGATCTACACCCACCCTCACGCTCAAGTACCAAGATACTGACTGCTGCTGTTTCTCTTTTCTTCCTCCTCCTTTCACCACTTCTCTCTTAT